CATGCAATCATGCGTAAATGAATTCTCAACTACATTATCATGTTTAGTAATTGATGAAATTACCGGCTATCTTCCCAACAAAGCATTTGATTTACGTCAGTTAAATATACCAAATCATATTCGTTTAGCAGACCCTAAATGTAATAAACCGGGGAAAGTAGATATTTTATTAGGTGCAGGTATATTTTGGAAATTGCTGTGCGTTGGACAACAAAAGTTGGGGAAAAATTTACCATATATACAAAAAACAAGATTAGGGTGGATTATCGGTGGCACATTTTCTGAAAATACAAATGATATCTCCCACGTAAATTTATGTTTAACATCAAACAAAGAGGACATTCTTAACAATAATTTAGAAAAATTTTGGAGAATCGAAGAATGTGCTAATATTCGTAAAAATTATTCTCCTGAGGAACAATATTGCGAGAAACATTATACAAAAAATACGGTACGCGATCCAGCAGGAAGGTTCGTTGTTAAATATCCGTTAAAACAGGACGCTTCTGTTATAGGTGATTCCAAGTTACATGCAGTAAAACGTTTATATTCCTTAGAGAGGAAACTAAACCGTGATCCTCAATTAAAGGAAGAGTATACTAATTTTTTGACAGAATATGAAACTTTAGGTCATATGTCTAAGATTTCACCTAATAGTGATCACAGCACATCTCACTATTTTTTACCTCATCACCCGGTAGTAAAAAGTAGCAGCTTGACTACAAAATTGCGCGTTGTGTTCGACGCTTCAGCTAAAGGTAGTTCAGGATTATCGCTTAACGATATTCAATATGTGGGGCCTACGATCCAAAACGACCTTTTTTCAATTCTTTTGCGCTTTCGCAAACATGAAATTGTATTGACAGCTGACATAGCCAAAATGTACCGTCAGGTAATGGTACACAATGATCAGCAAACCTTACAAATCATTCTTTGGCGTACAAGTCCTGATAAAGAAATCGAATATTACAAACTTAATACGGTAACATATGGAATGGCATCAGCGCCTTTTCTTGCAATTAGGTGTTTAAGTCAACTTGCGAATGATCATCGCGAAAGTCATTCTAATGCTGCCGATATTATCGAAAATGATTTCTACGTAGACGATCTGCTAACAGGTTTCGACTCCCGTGAAGAAGCAGTTTCGATTCAAGAACAAATAGTAAACATTTTAGGTTCAGCTAAATTTCAATTACGCAAATGGGCATCCAATGATGCAATTGTATTGAATAAACTTAACATAGACAATAATTTAGATCAAAATATAATTAACTTTTCTAAAGAACAAGAATCCAAAACGTTAGGGATAGTTTGGAATTCTCAAACAGATAATTTTCAATATTCACTATGCAATCTTACAACACACAGTCAAATAACTAAAAGGACAATATTATCCACGATATGTCAGATTTATGACCCGTTAGGTTTATTAGCCCCTATAATTATAAAGTCTAAATTACTGATGCAGAAATTGTGGCAATGTAAAGTATCGTGGGACGAATCTTTACCGTTCGAATTGCATAGCGAATGGATAGAATGTCGAAATAAATTATTTTCATTAAAAACACTAGCTATTCCTAGACATATTATATGTAAAAATGCTAAATTAGTGGAGTTACATGGATTCTGCGACGCCTCGGAAAAGGCATACGGCGCCTGCATTTATGCAAGAAGCATGAACGATGCTGGACAATATCAGGTTTCGTTATTATGCTCTAAGTCGCGTGTAGCACCATTAAAAACGATTACACTTCCGAGGCTAGAATTATGTGGAGCAGTATTGTTAGCTCAATTATACCAAAAAACAGTACAAGCGTTAAAAATGTCATTTAATAAATGCATATTTTGGTGCGATTCAACAATCGTGTTAAGTTGGATAAACGCAGCCCCAAGTAAATGGAAGACCTTTGTTTGCAACCGAGTTTCAGAAATTCAAACTTTAACTCACATTCACAATTGGAGGCATATTAGGACAGATGAAAATCCCGCGGATTTAGTTTCACGCGGAATAGAAGCGTCTTCATTAAACGACACCCTATTATGGTGGCACGGACCTCATTGGTTATCAGAGGTTGAAGAGCGATGGCCAACACCCTGTAGTAATTTCAAAAATACAAATTTAGAAGAAAGGTTAGTCACTACTCTTTCCGTAGAAACGAGCAATTTAGAATGTCTATCTAAATTTTCATCATTAGTAAAATTACAGCGTGTTGTTGCATATTGTCTTCGCTTCGTTAACAATTTAAAGTTACCATATAATCAAAGATTAATGGGTCCGGTTTCACAAAATGAAATGAAAAAATCACTCATATTGTTATTAAAAATGTCTCAGAGAGCTAATTACGCAAGCGAAATACATAAGCTAAAACAAGGCAAACGATTAGATACAAAAAACTCCTTACTTTCATTGAACCCATTCTTAGATACTGATGGTATTTTACGTGTAGGAGGTCGGATTGAAAGGGCTGAATACTCGTTTGATAAAAAGCATCCGATTATTTTACACTCCTCCCATTTTCTTACAAAATTAATATTTAATTTCGAACATATTCGGTTGCTTCATTGTGGACCAAATCAATTACTTTCGTCCATTCGCGATAAATATTGGCCACTCTCTGGAAGAAATCTGGCACGTAAAATTACACACGACTGCGTAACTTGTTTCCGCGCGAAGCCAAAGTCAATCGCACATATCATGGGAAATCTTCCTAAAGAAAGAATTATCCCGTCACCACCATTTTTTAATTGCGGCGTCGATTACGCAGGTCCAATTTTTATAAAATCTAAAAAAGGTCGCGGCGCCCAACTCATAAAGGCGTACATATGCATTTTTGTTTGTTTTTCTACAAAGGCGGTACATTTAGACCTCACAACCAGTCTAACATCAGACGCATTTTTATCTATGCTAAGGCGCTTTATTTCAAGGAGGGGAAGGCCCTCTAATATTTATTCTGATAACGGAACATATTTCAGAGGTGCTCATAATGATCTGATTGAATTAAAACACATGCTTCAAAGTAAAAACAATCAAAGTAAGATTATCGATTTTGCTAATGATAATGGAATCAGTTGGCATTTCACTCCACCCACTTCACCTCACTTTGGAGGATTATGGGAAGCTGGAGTGAAGTCCATAAAGGGTCATTTAAAGCGAGTAACAAAAAATACTCATTTCGATTTCGAAGAGTTTTATACTCTCTTAACACAAATCGAATCAGTTCTCAATTCCCGTCCCTTAACTCCTTTATCGTGTGATCCCAATGATCTCGAACCCCTTACTCCTTCTCACTTCTTAATCGGAAGGAAACTAACAGCGCTTCCGGACGAGAATTTGTTGGAGGTTCCCGAAAACCGCCTCAGTAAATTTCAACACATTCAACGGATACTCCAACACTTTTGGAAACGCTGGAGCAAGGAGTATGTAAGCGAAATGCAGGTTCGGACCAAATGGAAGAAAAACATTATCAACGTCCTGAAGATTGGAACCGTGGTGTTAGTGCGTGAGGACAATACCCCCCCGTGTCAGTGGCGTATAGGTCGTGTGACCAAATTGCACCCTGGTGACGATAACGTCGTACGAGTAGTGTCTATTAGAACATCCAACGGTGCTATATTAAAGCGATCAGTCACTAAATTATGTGCCCTACCTTTTAGTGACAATCTTAGTGTTAATGGATAAAAGGTTTTGAAAGCAACGCTTTCAACGCGGCCGGCATGTTTCGGCGCAAAAGACTATTGCCGATATTTGTAAATATTTTAAACTTATAATCATAACATTTATTTGATCAAGCAGTAGGCATTACATTATTATAGGCTATTAGTCGTAAGTTGGTCCTAAGAAAAACCCCATAATCTGTATATATTTCTTACCCCCATTGTAAATAGTTTTATTACCTCTTTTGTACCTCTCATTCCTGTATACCTACCTATTAGTCATTTGGAATTTTCAATCACTATTCAATATTATAAATACCTAGTTTGTAGTTCTATTGAATTTCTTAGGACCAGGCATAATTTGTTTGTGTGTGTGTGTTAGTACACACAATTCTGGTTGTTGCCCCTTCCATCAGAAGGGTAACATAAATACTAAAATTTGTCAAAAAAATAAGTAGTCGTAGTCGAAGTCGAAGTCGAAGATTCGATTCGTTCTAAAACATTTCAACTAAAAACTCCACTTTGAGTTTCCAGAGTCTAAGGTAGACTCAGCTGAGAACAATTCTCATAATCAGTTGTTACTTATGTAAAAGTGTAAATAAATGTACATATACATTTTACAGTTCCGTGTCTTATTTATACGGTGGTCCTTCGATCAGGTATTTATATATGTGGTACAGCAGTACACCCGTTGAGAAAAGATATATTGTTTTAATCGAACCTCAACAAAAAACATCTATCTTACTACAAAATTTCAAACCTCTGTTCCAAACACTAAACTCATGATATCTAGAACCGATAATCATGTTTTTACTCTACGGCGCGTGTACTACTGAATCCCCTTAATGTATCGTCCGGCATCTTTCTAGTATGTACTGTTGGCTCGTGCCGAGGCGACTTTTATAAAAGATGTAAAAGAGTAGACTAATTTCAAAATTCAAAACAAGAAAAAACACCAAATTTTTACACCCTTGCCTAAAGCTTATAAACCTAAATAACGATTAATTTTAATTGCGAATTTCTGAATAAATTGATTTTATTCTGATACATATTGGTTTTATTTTGGAACCGTACAACGTATCCCTTATGATTCCATACTACATAATTACTATTCCATATCCACGGTTTCTATATTCGCGGCATATTTATGGAACGTATACCCCGCGAATAAGAAGCTCTTACTGTAATTCTAAGTTTACACGGGGAAGAACATAAGGCCCGGTTCACTTTCGTTCAGAATTAGTTCTAGTAGGTGTCAAAAATGCTAAATTTTAATGAATATTCGCAAATGAACTTAGGATATAAACCTTGAAACAATCTAACTGTTTAATTATGAGTTTACTTACTTCAGCATACTTCTGTACTTCGTGAGCTCGTTTGACTGCCATGAAGGGACGTTCGTGCCTAGGGGTGGTGTTCGAGTAGATTGAAGTTTGCGAAGAGCTGAAATTACGCAAAGCGCTACCACTGTGTGGAGAGCTCGGAGAAGATATGTTCTTTGAGGATGTTGTGTTAATGTGCAATGGTACCGTAAAGTCCTCGTCGTCGTCAGCGAAAGCCGTCGTGTCACTCGTATAACCGTCTGCACGATGACTTGCCGATGGTCGTAAGTGTCGACTATGCACTTGCCTCAATTCCGAGAGAAGTCGTGTCTCATGGGGTTGTCGCTCGTCCCTGAGTTGTTGTTCTCGACGTTCCTTTAGTTTTAATTGTTGACGTTGAAGCCATGTTAGGTTACCGTTGATTGTCGATGAATACCTATTTAGGAGATTAAAAATGAAACTAAGCAACCAACAAAATCAGAGTTGACTAGTTTGGTTGTTTTTGTTTTTTGAAACTAATGGAAGTAACTACATCAAGGGTAGGATACATACATAGTGTGTTTTATAAATTGACAATCGCTAGATTGCAGTAATCATTTTTTTACTTCATTTTTAATACTAGCTGACATAGCTGCATTGGCCCGTTAGTACCTACATTTTGAGCAGGTGGAATATGCAGTGACTTATATTTTGCGCAATTACTCTAATTGTTCGTATTTTATTCGTTCGACACGTTTTTTGTTGAAAAGCATAAAAAAATTCAGAAGAAATTCTTTAGCAATACGCTTTAAGTAGACCAATAGAAATACAGGATTCTCTATATCAATCAATCAAGTAGTACAAATTTTTTTAGTTAAACTCGTACTATAGAAATGTTAATGTTGAAACTTTTACAAAACAGTGAAAAGTTTTTTATAAATTTATTTTGCTTCGTCTGTTGTAGGGAAGCTCCGTATTATCTACCTCTACATTTCAAAATATTGCTACATATTATTCGATCTGACTCAGAAAACGTGCAGTAAGAAGCTTTAGTAATGTATAATTATGAAATCCTTTTTTATAGAAACATATCTCTGTTTTTACTCATATTCGAATTCAACAAAAAGGCCAGTAGCTATTTATTATTCATCAAAAAGGACCCCTTTTACAATACTAATATCCTACCAGTTTCGTCTATTTGCAGAAGTAGTTAATGATTCAATGTAATTTTAATACTGCAATTAATGACTACTGGCGTCAAAAGTGCATAGTGTATTATACAATTAAATGAAGATGACATGGAAACGGGTACATTTTCACCACAAGGACAATAAATTTTAAGTGCTAGACTGGGACAGCTCTAACAAATACATGAGACTAATCGCGAAATACGAATTCATAGTTCGTTAGTAGGGTATCGTATTTCATCCTAAATTCGACATCTGCCACCGCAATGGCCTTGGCATCGAATTAGTCCGCGTTTCAGTGGGGAATTGGGACAACGAATTTATTCGGACACGCATAAGGCTGTTTCATCTGGAAAACAACATTTCATCATAGCAACAAACGTTTGTCAGATAAACTGTAGAATTATTAAAAGACAGGAAAACAATCAAAACATGAAAGATGAAAGTACACAGTGCACACCGGAAATCCGTTTATATGCAAACGTAAATTAGAACTGTTTGTTTATGGATCAGAAGGATATTTTTGTTTTGAGAAATATCTACAAGTTGAACAGGATTGCAAAAAACAGCGATGCAGGAATAGTAAAACAAATAACATTATGGTAGACAATGTTAGCAACATTACTTCAATTAAAATCTATATANCTATAGGTCCTGTTTCAAACGAGTAAATTTTTTACAAGGATGTATAGAAAATTATAATAATAATGTAATAGATAGGAATAGGTATACATTTGTGAAGAGTTTTTTTTTTTAATGCGGGGTGCAACTACGACATACCGGAGACATTTTGTAATGCAATGAATATATTATTGTTTAATATTCGACATTATTCAATAATAATAATAATCCGATTAATATTAATATACTGGTAAGGCGTTTCCACATTTCGATTTATTTGTTTTCCTTCCCCAAATTCAAAGTCTGCATCAATATTAATTGGAGTTAAACATGTAAATTTTCACCATATAATTTATTAATTCATAAATAGGTACGTATTTCTCCTTTTTAGATCTTCAGGAGCCTACACAACAAATTAAATTAGGTGCCTATATCTCAGTTTTATTTCTGTTTATGTTACTGTACAGGTGGGAGTATTCTTATTTTATTTTTTATTTTAGTAATAAATTTACGAATTGTCTAACAAATGAAAAAATATTAATATTATCTTTGGGAAGATAGTACAAAGGACGAATTATCAAGCAAGAATAACCTTACGTTAAATACTGATTTGGTGTAAAAAAATAGTAAAGAGGGTGGTTGGCACAAATCATTTTGTAAATTACGTAAATTAAACAATTAGGAATTGCTCTAAATGTGTGTCTATACACGAAGGAAAATTTTAATATTAGATAACTTTATTTCACGTGGATGTTACAGCGTGTATACNATGAGTTGCAATGTTTAAATGGAACATATATTATTTGTGGTCAGATTTACTTGAAACTTAATCTATTCATTATGGTTTCTCATTTAATTTCTGAAAGACCTATCTCGACATTTTGAAAGTCAACCTCCAAAGGGATGTTAGGGGTAAAAAGCTGTTGCAATTTATGTTTGGAACATACTTTATTTGGGTTGAATTTACTTGAAACTTGGTATATATGCAGTTTGATATTATTAATTAAATGAAAAGAGGTTGCAACGTTTCCATGGGGTATATTTTATTTGTACTAGGATTTACTCGAAGGTTGCTCACTGTTGAAATTAAGCAAATACGTGTTTTGGCAATTTTTAAAAATCAACCCTTAAGGATGGAATGTTGTTGCTACGTTTGTATTTGAAATCTAAGATGGCGACATTACATAAAATTAAAACGCTGTAAGGGTGAATTGGGAGTTAAAAGGTTTTATGGAGAAACAATATTAGTTTCTGCAAGCGAAGCCGCGGGGAAAAGCTAGTTTTTAATAAAAATTAGGTTTCAAAAATCACCGCCAAGCTAAAAAGCTGGAACTATGCCACAGTCGCAGGTCATAAGCAGCTGAAGGACAGTGATACTACCGTATTTCATAATTAAGGTTCCTGTGGATTCAGACAGAGTTTAATAGGGAATCAGATTTTTTAGGTTCTTTAATTCTTCTAATTACATAATTTTCTGAGAATTTCGGATTTACGGAGTAATAAAATTCATTACTTTTTTCTATTTATCGTAAGTATCTGATATAACGTAAAACTATCATATCTAAATTAAGTATCTAACTTTCGTACAATAATTGTACAAGCAGTTTTACTATTGTTTTCATATGACTTCTGGAAATATTTTGCTAGGTATTAATTGTACATAAATAATGGGTAGATTATAAAGATTATAACATACCTACTCTACTAATTCAATCATGTAGAAATTAAACAAAGGCAAGTCGATCTACCCACTATTCACGATCGCCAAAGGAGCGTTAAAAATTTACTAGTCTGCAGCATGTATTTCGTCATATGCTATTTTTACTAAAATCATCATTGGCTCGTATAACATTGTATAATATCTAATCATTTCATTCAATTGTTTAATAGCTTCAAAGGTGACTTCAAACAATAAAAATTGAAGAGATAATAACATAGTTCGCGGCAGGGACAATCCCTAATAAACTCGGTTATAATTTATTTCCTTATTGAATTACAGCTGTTAATGAAAATGACTGTTTCTTTTCTTCGATTAACATTGGTCTTGTTCTATTTATTCACACAATAATTGCCCTAAATGCTGAAATTTTCTGTCATACATGCGAGATTGTCATGACTTCTAAAGAAAATAGTGTCGATAGTTGTCAGAGTTTTAAAAACTCGAGAACATATTACTGACCTTATATGTATAAAAAAGACCATAAGTCTGTTGTTGTTTTTCTAATAAGCATGTACTAGGTAGTATTTTATATATTTTTATGTAAATGCTTATTTTATTGATTATGGATATTTATTACCTATTAAATATAACAACTGCTAACGCAAAAAAAATCGATATTTACGCTGTCTTCACTTTATTGCAATTTCGTAATTACAGAGCATCAAACATTAAGAAACACGCGAATGGTGCATCATCTTTTACCAGGAAATGTGGATACTGACCTAAGAGATACAAATAGAATGCCTCAACTTTCTTCATTAAGTTTGTCCATTGCATGGAATTAATGCCGTATAAGAACACGAATCCATTTGTTTGCATTCTAAAACCCAGAATGAGTGTGAAACAATCCTTGCATAACTCACAATTTGTCACCGCAAATACCTAAACTGTTACTAAACATACATAGAAGGTTGATTGTAAAGAGTTCTCTGCAGAACAAAATTGATTGCTTTCAGGAATGGCAATTGTCAGGTTTTAAAAATACATATAAGACCATAATATTCCTTTCCGACAAAGAGTATTACCTATAGCTAACATTGTTAAGCAGTTGTGTGAGCCGTATGTAGGTTAAACAACAAATGCTCGCTGACTTCTTTTTTAAGAAAAACCTTCGACGTATTACGTCCATTTATCGTCATCTTCGACTAGTAGTTGCCGTAAATAACACGATTTGTCAAGAAAAAAGTTGAACGAGTCTCTGAGCGAGACGATATCAGCAGTTGAAGAGAAACGGCGGACATATGGCGCTCGCAATGTAAAAAATCAAGTTCAAGGATACTTATAGTAATACTTTTACATGCTGTAGACGTTTTGTTTGCGTAATAACCCGTTAAAACATTTGCATAATTCAAATCCTAATTTAACTATAATATATGCAGAACAAGTCAACGCCTTTTTTAGAAGTGAAAATCGTACTATACGAAAAGGTCGTTCTCTCGGTGGCATATATACTAATTAAGATATAAATTATTATACAAAAAATAAGTGATTCTGGTAATTTAAATTTCTAGTTTTACAGCTATCAGCAACATTAGTTGCGATAAAGTTTCATATTTCATTTTTAGATTCCAGAATAAACAACATACCACTAAAAGGTACACAATCCTGCATTTAAAATTTTTAAAACACACTATATGTACCTACGAACTGAGAAGTTATGATATTGAGCTTTTGATTAATAGACTCACCCTTCCTGCTTTGGTGAGCTCCTGAAGGCACTAGGAGGCGACAAATTCCCGTCCGACAATGGACTCGACACAGGCGATCCAATACTTCTGTAATCCGAATAGTTATCCAGGCTTCTCTTGATAGTCCCATCGGTGTGACTCCTCTTCAGCGGATCGTATCTTTTAACTTCGTCCTTGTAAAATTCTTCCCGAAACTCTTTCTTATAAGGATCACTCGCACTTAAAGCACTGGGTGTAAAGATACTGTCAATAGGATCTCTCTTGGGTGGTAATGTAGAATAGTTGTATTTAGAACCGATATCGGAATAGTCTGAAGTATTGTAAATGGAAGAATTATACGTGGAAGAATTGTAGTTGCTGGAAGGGCTCGAATAGTTGCTGCTCTTGTAGGTAGCGTTCGGATATACTTGCGTCTGAACTTTTTTCAATGTATCTCCTGAGCTTTTATTAAAGCTCGCTTTTCGCACCAGGCTAGGACTGGATAATTTCTTCGAATCCCCGATCATGTTTGAATTGACGCCGTACGTAAATGGTTTACTATCTTGTCGAGCGTGGTATGGAATATTCTTGTCTTCTTCTTCGTCTATGTATCGGACATTGTCGAGGTTGAATGTCGTCGCCGACGAGGAATCGCAATCCGAGTTTTGCTGTTGTCGCGGTTTGATGTCGGGAATGTTCTGAACGGTGAGCATCATATCCGATAGCAATTCGTCCAATTCGCGATGCTGATCTTCGGGGGTTAGGGGGGACGGTTGAGCAGTCGGAGGGGGACTCGTTGAGGCGTTCGTGTTGGCGTTCTGCTGGTGACCTGCCCCCACAAGCGCACCTAATTAGTTTTGTTTATAATTTTACGTGGAATGCCTAAACGGTTTGCTTTTCTTAATCTGAACGAAAGAATGCAAGGTTTCTGGATAAAACCTATTTTTATTTGATTGTTTAGTTTTATACAAACTAAACGCATTTTTTTTTTTTGGATACCTTTAAAAGGGTATTTGTGTAGGCAAGGAATTGAATCAATTTTTTTTCTTCTTCAGTCATTTAATGCATGCAACCTCGCATATTTCCATTACAAGCAAAAGTAATAAATAATTTCAAAAATAAATTGAACGTAATACACTTTTCTCCTCTGTATATGTACGCAATTAATTATTTTCAAACACATGCGAATGCACCACTAGTGTTTGGATTAATGCCAGTTTGACGAAAGCCTTGCACTTAAAATTATTTTTCTCGAAAACAAAACATTGCATAATTTTGTAGGTAATAACATTTAGTGCACACTTAAAGAGAATATTCGTAAAAAGTAAATTTACCTAGACTTATGTAAGTACAACAACTATTCTACATCCGTTCCGAGAGTAAGTTGAAAAAGTGTAATAAAACTACCTTCAAACCGGTTGAGTATGAACTTTGTTATAATAAAAAATGTATAACAAGTGTAATATTACCTGCAGAAGAAATACCAGAGTCCATGGACACAGTCAAGGGACTAGAAACGGCACCGGGTGACAGCTCCGGTTTCTTTGCTATGGTTGCGTAAATACTTCCGTCAAGTGGCCCAAAAGTGTGATTTACGTCTTCTGAAAAGAAAATTCAACATTTAGAAATGTACATATTTGACAACCAGTTACAATTATGTATGTTATAGTAAAATATTTAACAATTTAAAGTTTGTTCTTTTGTGCATTTGGAAAATCCTTAATCATAATCATCAACGTCATAGAATCGACAGTGGTAAGACTGGTTGGACATGCATCACCACTCTTTCCTGTTCTGAGCTAATCTTTACATTTCCTTAAAACTAGAACATCCCTCACTCTTAACTATTTGTGAACAGTAATGTGATCCTGTTTCTGTTTCTGCTTCTAAATGTCTCGAAATAGCCCTTCATGCCTGAGAAAGCGTCCTACCAACCTATCTCGTCTGACTTTTATAGCGTCCCCTGTTCTTCTATTCTTTCTAACACCTCTTCATTTCTAACTTTTTCTACCTATGATATTGTAGCGACCACGAGCGTGTTTGTGTGCGATCGGGCATACGTGTGTGTGAGCGGCTTATCGATTCGCCGACTAGCCGCGGGCGCTTTTCTTGATGTGCGCCGTATCTGTAAACGTGTGTGTCGTACCTGCGTTCCGGGAAAGCAATTAAACCTTTCAAAGAAAACGAGACTTCTCTGGACGGCTGGAGAATGTTCCCGAAAGAAGGCAAGGGAGTATAAAAAGGAAGAGAAGATCGCCGAAGTGGAGTAGAAATAAATTGACCGTTGCAGAAGTTAATCAAGAGATAAATTGACAGTGATAGAGGTGAAATAAATAGAACAGTGAATAGTAACAGTAGTGTAAATAAACAGAATAATTACCTAAGTGTAGTAATAATTTAATAATGTTTTTTCGTTCTATAATAATTAGTGTAAATAAATAGTTTTTGTCGTTGTGAGTCTTAAACCGTCCACATTTCCTACCCATACAGAGCCGTGCTCCAGACATACATCTTCAACAACCTTTTTCAAATTTCTAAATTTACCGTTTGCGAGCATAAAAGTACATGTTTGTTTTATATCTCTACTGCTCCTTCCATCCTGAATTTCCTAGATACCGAAAATCAACGACTTCTCTTAATGTTTCGTATCCTATCTTTATATTCACTCATTCCCTATCTCTTCTTCCCTTGCATGTCAATATTTATAATAATCATAGCATTTAAAATAAATATTTGGATGTCCGCTGTAAGTTGATTCTTCATTTTATTTTCGTTTACCTTTTCGAAAGCATTTATCAGTTTATGAATTAATACGGATGGCGGGTGATGCCTGTAACCGCTATAAATAAAAATGTTTTATTTGCATGCACATTACTGATAAAGCAGCAAATGGCGAGCCACAGCAATTTGTATCTATCATCTGAAATTGCAGAATAACATCAAAACTATAAAAGGAACAAATCGGATTCCGTGTGATTAATATTCTGACTCAAATTGTGTAGAACTACAAATACGAGGAACACGATAAATAAAACAACAACGTTACAAAAACATGCAAATAATTATTGAGCTAAAGTTCAAATAGATGAGCAACAAATAACCAAAACGCTAATATGAAAAATCACGGAAGTTTCACAAATTATTATTAGTAAATCAAGAATATATTTCAGATTTTCTGGAACGTTTTGGGATTTATTATGTCCGATTCATTCATAATCGTGTATTCCTTTTTGTATGAAATCCTATGACATTGTTAGTTACTTAATAGTGGATTAATATGCAATATTAATTTGAAATCATCTTTTCGATTTTTTATTTACCCACTACAAACTACCTCAAATTAATGAGGGAAAAAATTGTTGCTGTTGTCACACCCCCGCCGAGAATCGAACCCGGGGCCATTGGCTTTGGAACATTGATGCGTAAAGTCAAAGGTCCCGGGTTCGATTCTCGGCGGGGGTGTGACAACAGCAACAATTTTTCCCTCATTAATTTGAGGTAGTTTGTAGTGGGTAAATAAAAAATCGAAAAGATGATTTCAAATTAATATTGCTTTTTGTAGACCAAATTATTGATACCCTCTTACAAAATAATGAAAATTTTTTTACCAAGGCGTACTAATGAGATAAAATAAGATCGAAATCTTGATAAATTACTAACCAAAAACTTAATCGGTTTCTATTAACAGTTTGGTAGGACAATGTGCGGTTCAATATAACTTTTTACCCAGGCTTCTATTTTAATTTTTTCGGTAAGGAAGCCCAAAAATTAAAAATATGTCTACAGTTGATAATGTTCAAGTAGACATTTTTGATTATATAACAATTATTAAAAAACAGAAACATTGGAATTTCTATTTTTAAGACCAAACGATTGGAGTTTCATTAAAGTATGGGATACAGAATTTGACCAATTATAAAATGACATCATATCTTAAGAAATAATCTAAGCGTTAACGCATGTACTTATAAAGTTATAATTTTTTTAAATGATTAACGAAGTACGACAGGTGTAAATAAATGTATCTAATTAAATAAATATATGCATATTGTGCAAACGACTGAGTTATTAATTAGTCACTATTGGAGCATGTTTAACACTGGATGGCTATCCATTCATTCATAAGAAACGATTAAATATGCTACCCATAAATATTGAATATGAATAAAAGGAGTAACTTGAACAGGTGTGTTCTTATTGAAGACGGTCAACATTGGATTATTTATCAAAATATGCTTAAACTATCCATCTTGCTGTAGACGGTTTGAAATTTTGGAAAAATATTCATACACCCCATAATTTACTTCTCAAATACAGTAAGTCATGAATTAAATAAATTTTAACTTCAATGTATGATAACAACCACAAGATTAGAACTTTTAGAATTAGAGAATCCAATGGTGTCAAAAAACTTCACTCAAATGAGTATTTCGTTTTACAATTATTACTTATAAGTATTAAAATGGTTCGAAACGTTTGAAACTTTTACAACCTAATCCCATTTTTCTATAGATGTACTTGTAATTCCGTAGTACATGAATCTCCATAAAGCTATTATTTAAAAACATATCAACCGTATCCTTCGAGTATTTCAAACAGAAAATTGTAAAATTTTAGGTACTGTAGAATATAAATAGGTTTAGAATTTCCAAAACTATTTGAACCAGAATTCAGTATACTAACTACATTTGACTGGGGAATTTTTTAGTTCAAATCAGATAAAATATATATATAAAAAAGTTCTTAGCTTCTAAATAACGCTAATTAGGTCATTTTAACAATATTGATATTTCGATATTCGACATTCACAAGCAATTACCAATATTATTGCAAAAACTCGATTTTAACTTACGAAAAATAAGATATTAATTTCCACTGTCTTTGTGATAACTGTGAAGATACAAAAAGCTCTGAATTGTTCAGGAAAATACTCGTTTTCTTCTTTGACAACATACCTACCAAAGTTTCACTTAATATTTATTATGAACCAGCTAATTTTTAAGGCAAAAACATCTTTTATTCTTATTAATAATAGAGAATGTTGAATCAGTTACTTAACCATTACCTTGATAATGTCCATAAACATTGAATGAAACGTTGGTATATTGTATATTAACGTAAGAAGTAAACACATGAACAATTCGGAGCTTTTTGTAACAAAAAACTAATTACATTAAATTCAAACTCGAATAATGTGGCTAATATGGGATCTTTGTATATCGTTCCTATTACATTTCCACTGTCCTAAAGCATTACGTCAAAAAATTTCACTTATCGTTAATGCTACAATTTTGTGTGTAGGTGGACGGCCGATGGAACCCACTAAATCATATAAATTTAGCATACGTATATGCTCACGGTCAGATCAAATTCCTTGGATTTAGTAATGGAGGTGGATTTATTTGAAAATTTGCTGCTTTTCGACAATGTCTGTTTTCAACTAGGAAATTTTGTAGGATATTATCGTGAAAAGCGATTATAGCATATACCTAATGTTTCCAAAATTTATTCACTTTGAAATCAACATGGAATAGTAATTATGTATATTTTCGAAATTTGATGTAGCAAATATTATCTCATCATCACCATAAGGTCATCAGTCCTAAGACTGGTTGGACACGTACCTCCATTCTTTCCTATCCTGAGCCAAACTTCGCATTTCCCTAAAACTAGAACAACCCACATCCTTAACTATTTGCGAATATTATCTACTGTTACAATAAAAACTAAGATCCAATTGCAATTATATTTTATACATTATTATTTATTTTTTTAATTTAGTCCCCATACTCTTTGGAAACGTTAAGCAGTTTGTTGGAAAAGTTAAATTCAAGAGTACATTTCCACACTATGTAATAAAGATACTCAATCAGTTCGGTAAGAATGAACGAAAATAGATACACAATTCCACCAGAAGTAAATACTGTAATCTTATCTCCTTTCGCTATATTTGTACATTGCATCCATTGAAAAAGAAAATTACGTCTATAGTTACGAACATATCTACATATTACATGCCTAAGGATTTTCCATTCTATGATCTATCAAATATTTACTTGTCTTCCTTTACATATTTATTATAATACAGTAAAAGTTTCTTATTCATGGTTTCTATATTCGCGTTTTCATTATTCGGGGCTAAAAATTTCATTATTCGAGGATGTAATCGGTAAACAGAAACGGATTTGATATCAATTATTAAGGGGATTGACCGCAATAGACCGCTCGTGCCTAGTGTGAATTTTTCCGAAAACATGGGTTTCTATTCTAAACATTGTGATTTAACGTTGCGAGATAAATATGAGATTTTTTTTATGGTAAAGGACAAAGGTTCACACTCACTCAGTATGTTTTGGTTTCCAGTAACATGAACATTAAAAGTTTTTACAAGTGCTTAAAGTTGATGCTTTTTGTAGGACATGTATTTTCAATAGAAATAAAAAAATAAAAAATGACCTTCGACAGGCTTTAGAACAAAGCTTTATCTATCTTACTTCAAAATTTCAAACTTCTATTCCAAACATTAAACTTATGATATCTAGAACCGATAAGCATGTTTTTACTCTATGGCGCATGTACTACTGAATCCCCTTAATGTATC